CCAAGTTAGGGTTTGTGAAATCATAATTGGGTTGAGAATCTTTGGGGGATTCATTAATAAAACCAATTGGGGGTTTCCTTCCAAGATCGGGTTGATTTGGTTTTTTTTACAAGAGTCTCACAAGATTGGATTCAGTTGAGTGAAAGCCTTGAAGAACAATGTTGTTTATCAAAGGAGTATCGTAATCAGAGGATCAATCAGAGTTCTTGGGTCACTTGATCTTTCTTAAGATAAAGGGGAGAGAAAAGGATAGGATCGACATCAAATATTGAATGTGAGGGTTTGCATTGCTATTTCTTCTCTTATATAACATTTTGCAAAAGGTTATACAAACTATCTCATTTCACATTTGGAATTAGGGGCAGACGTACTCATAGCGAGGTCGATTAGGGAACTGCCTAAACATATCTTCTCTCTCTCTCTCTCTCTCTCTCTCTAGTTTAAATTTAGTATTGTTTTGAATTAAGTGTTCAATAGTTAATTACAGAAAATTCCTAAGTGTTGGATTATTTTCCAAACTATTTTTGTGAAGAGCATTGCAATCTAAAAATTGCAATTAGATTCCACCATTATCAACACTTAGAGGAATTCCGCTTCATGATCATTTCACACCAAGTGCTTGACAAATTGCTTAAGTCAATTTTGTCATCTTGTATAATTGGAAATATTTTAACAAAGTGTTATAAAGTTCAAACGTGTCTTAGAAAATCAGATCAATTTTAGTTCTCATCTTAGCATCGTATCAAACTTAACACATTATGATTTAGACGCATATCCGGTCTTTTTGATAACGGGTTTGGATAGACGAGTTTTCGACCCGGAAGTGCTTTTGCAAAACCATAGAAGATATTTTCAAAACTAAATTTTAAATTCTAAATTTTAATTGGTGATATATTCACCCCTCCCCCTCTAGATTAGTTGCCCTCATTTAACAACTGATATGTTACAATTCATCTTTGAACATACTTTATCAGGTGAAGACTAAGCTTTATCTTCTTCATAGAGTCTAATGGGATACAACTGCTAATTTATTTTGTAACAAATGTTATTCAAACTAGCTTTCACCTAACTTGACAGTTTGGTGAAACATCCTAACGTCTCTTCTGATGGATCAGAAGCTAAAGACCACACTTTGAGGATGTCATCTTCTGAAGAGGTCAACATTAAAATATCAAAGTCTGAAGGAGTCATCCTCCGAAGATCATAATTTGGAGAAGTCTGTTTCTGGTGATCAGAGTCTAAGCCAGCCAAAAGCAATGACCAAGGTGACACTGATAGGTCATTGTTCATCTCTGAAAATACTTTGTCATGTGAAGACCTAAGCATTATCTTCTTCATAAAGTCAGTTGAGATTCAACTCCTAATTCCTTTTGTAGCAAAGGTTGTTCAAACTAACTTTCACATAACCTAACAGTTTGGTGAAACATCCCAACGTCTCTTTTGAAGCTTCTCAAAGGACTATGCTATGCTGCATCTTCAACAAATATTTTCTTCTCTATTTAAGGAGCTAAAACCTAGGACTATGTTATGCTGCATCTTCAATATAAATCAATTGACAACAAAACAGAAGTTACCCTGTCAAAGTAAAAGCACAACTTAAACATAGGTTTTCTTAGCCTTGTATATCTTATAAATCCTTAAGTCTTTAAGAGTTTATTTGTTATGGATTCTTTATACACCTTTGATTTTGTACACCTTTAATTGTATATCAAGTGTATTAAACTTGTGTTTGGTTTAGGGGTTGTCTTAGGAATTCTCTATTTGGCTCGTGAGTCTCACCTACTACAAAAGGTCTCGTTTGGTTCTTGAAGATCACCCATAAAATTCTCCACAAAGGTTCTCGAGCTCAGTCAGGTGTAAAACCTATGTCGTTTCGAGATCACCCCATTTAAAATCTCATCTTAGTTTGATATCAGCCCATGTAAAATCTGCGTAAAATGTTAACTCGGTTTAGAGGTCATCCCATGTAAAACCCTAGTTCTGTTCGAAGGATAGTCAGCATAAAACTCCATCTTAGTTAGGAGAATAGCTAGTATAAAACTCCATCTTGATTCAGAGGTGAGCCCGTAAAAATCTATTTGGTTCGAAGGATAGCGAGTAAAAACTCCAAGTTTGGTTAGAAGTTAACCATTAAACTTCAAATCCTTGTAAAAGAAGGTTCGTTGGCACATTCTATTAAAAACTATCACGTTACTGGAAACTCTAAAAAAAAATTAGTAGAGAATTAGTCCGCCTTCATTTAGACCGAACCTCTCTAGTTTGTTAGGTATTTCTTTTTTCCTTTTCTCTTTTGTTTATTTTATTTCTTCTGTTTTTTCAGTTGTTCTTTTGTTCCCCTACTTATTTATTTATTTTATGAATGATTTCAAATTCTAGTTTTCTTAAAAAAATTATTTTTAATCAACGTTTTTCACAACGTGACACGTTGTGGGTCGAGACACGTTGCTTCACATTTTCATAAAACAGACAACACAAAAGAAAAGACATTCGTACCAATAAACAGACACACATGAAACAAGTGTAGACTATATTTTATGTCGTCTATGACTTCACTCAATATTTTTAATAGGTCTTTTACAAATATATCAATACAAATAATATAAATAATTCGTCACTCTTCACTAGTAGCCACTAACCGAAAGGTAAAGGCAATTCCTAAAAGTCTAAGGATCTCTTTTGCTGATGACATCAAAAACCATCCAAATCCCAAATTTTTTATCTGTTTAACAATTAAATAGCTGTACTTTACTATCTAATATCTATAGTATATTCGCTATTAGAATAGCTCAGTGGCCACAACGTCATCCAAATTCAAAAGCCAATCCGTTTGTTAAAAAACACATTAAATATAACAGGTCTGCTATGTTTACACTCATTCCTACACCCTACACCCAATTTACTGTTCACAAATACGTGAACAAATTTCTCAGAACATGGTTAATAGTATGTATTTTATTGGTTAATAAAGTAGTGAAAGTGGTTAATAAATTATAGATAAAATAATTGGGTAATGATGTAGATTTTTATGGTTAATGCAATTATGAAGTTGGTTAATGCGCAATCTTATATTTGTGTTATAAAATAAATTTTAAAAATAAATATTTTTTTTTTAAAAAATTAATATTTTAAAAAAATATATTATTTTAATAAAAAAACACTGTTCACCGTATAAATACGGTGAACAGTAGATACGGTGTATGTATTTAAGTGTAAGAATGAATGTAAAAATAGCATTTTTCTAAATATAATAGACATGCATTCTTAAAATAAAAGCTTAAGATGCTTTTGTCCTTGCAACATATACTAGCTACAAAGTCACGTACACACTTAACATTTTTTCTCTCACGAAAAAAATCATAAGCCTAAATGCACGAAAATGAAGGAAACTCAAATGAATATAAATTTCAAACTCCATGAAATCCGTTGATTAACAAATCTCGATGGTTGGTAAGTGAATATATGGTGTTGCATAAGTTATAAAAAGGTCAATAATTATTTGTTATTTCCTTTGAATAAATGATGGGTTCCTTTCCTTCTCGATCTTGCATTTGCTAGAGAAAGCAACGGCTTGGTAGCAACAAAATTTGGAAAAGGGACTGATCACCTTCCAATAACACTAGAAGTTACTAATCACGTGTAATGTTCGTTTAATTCCAAAATGAAAGCATAATGGCATGCTAATTGGCCCGGGGGTCCTCTTCAGAATGACTTTGACTTTGTCAATAATATTAGATGATTGTTCTATCACATAAAAAGGTATTGTATTATGAACTAGTTCTGATAGTATATTTTAACAAGTAGCATACATGTGCATCAGCACCAACTAGCGTCTTGCTCTTCATTATTTGTTGTTCTATTGTTGAATTAAAAATTGTAGTATGAAAATAAGGATTAAGGACTTGAAATAGCCGTTTTTAGAAAAAGAACCGAGGAGTAAGAAATTATTCACACGTAGAAGGAAAATGGTATTATTATGTAAATATTCTACGTATAATAGATTGGCCATTTAAATTCAAAGAAGCTATTGCAAATTATTCTATTCATAATAATAAAGATTTACAATTTATAAAAAAATGATAAGATATGGGTTAGAATGGGATGCAAGGAAGGGTGTGGATGAGTTGCATTATGTTTCAAATTGTCAAATGAGAATACATAACAAATGAGAAAATTGAATGACGCTCACACGTGCAATACAGAGTGTAATGTTATGATGTTTAACGCTAATTAGCTTGGTAAGAAATTGTACTCAACGTTTAGAATTAACTAAGTTGTGAAACTTACTGCAATATGTGAGAAAGTGCATGAGAAATAGAATACTAGTATGAGTAGGATGAAAGCTTTATAGAACACGGAAGGAAGCACTTAATTTAGTTGAATGGTCATTCAAGTATCAATATCTTAGATTGCATGACTACGCTCATCAGTTGTTGAGATCTAATCTAAACAACACAATTAAGTCGAAAGTCTAACTAACTGAACAACAACTAGAGGAAATTGAGCAACAACTCGAAGACTACATCAGCAGACCATTATTACCAAGTTTTCAGCGACTTTATATGTGCCTTGACATTTGTAAGAGAAGTTTTCTAATATGTAGACCAATTATAGGACTTGATGGGTGTTTTCGCAATGGTCATTATGAGGATAAATTATTGTAGTAGTAGGTAAAGCTCTAATGATCAAATGATGCTCATTGCATTAGTTGTAGTTGAAGTAGAGACTAAAGACTCATGGACTTGGTTCCTTGATCTACTAATTCAAGAATTAGTAAGGGTCAGAAGTTTGCAAACAGTTCACTTTCATATTAGGTCATCAAGAGGTATAATATTCAATAGCATTTATAAATAATCTACTTACATTAATTTTATATTTAGCTTTGTTTCTATGTATAGGGGTTGTTACCTGCAATGGAATAGTTGTTACTTGGAGTTGACTAGAGATTGTGCGTTAGAGACTTGTACAACAACTTCAAAAGGTGATTTCTTGACAAGCAGAAAATGTTGTGGAGGGCAACCAAGGCAACATATCCTCAAGCATGGAAAAGAAAAACGAAGAAAATGAGGAAGGTTAATAACGAGACCTACAAATACTTATTGAAAATTCCTCCTAGATTTTGGAGTAAGTATATGTTTAATTATAATACTAAATGTGATATGTTGGTGAACAATATGTTAGAAACATTTAATAGTGTTATAATTGGACTAGGACAAAAGCCAATTGTAACAGTGCTAGAGGAGATAATAGGGTACTTCATGGATAGATGGGCAAATAATATAATCAAGATTGAAGATTATAGTGGTTATTTACTTCCAAGAATTAAAAAAGGGTTTGAAAGACAACAAGAAATATCAAGATTCTTTATGGCTAGGTAATTCAATAGTTTATTTTATCTCGTAATTGTATTTTATTATTAACAACTAACTCATGGAATTTTATTTGTTTACATGGTTATCTGATGAGATTACTTATGATGTAAGGCACATAAATGTGACAGGAGATAAATTGACAGTTAATCTCATGTAGATGCAGTGCCATTGTAGTAGTTAGATGCTCATTGGAATTCCATGCTACCATGAAACTACATGCATCCAAATTAGAGTTGAAGACTCATCAGATTACATTCCTCCCTTATATAGGAAGGAGACTTACTGGGCTTAGTATAGACTACACTATCACACCCTAATTTTTGACCTTAAGATTTCACCTCCTTGTTTTTTTTCTTTCTTGCATTTTTATCTTTATATCTCTGCGTGCATGTTTAGTATGACTAACGAATGTGTGCAGGTGTCGCTTCCGCGAAAATAAGGTGCCGGCACAACAAAAGAGTCGCCACCTTTCGTTATTTATCCCTCAGAGCGGGAAAGGAAACGATCGGAAAAACCTGACGAAAAAAGGTAAGACAAGGTCGTCGCAACCATTGTCTGGGTTTGGGAGTCGGTTACGCAAGGGGAAGGTATTAGCACCCCTCACGTCCGTCGTACTCGACGGGATCCACGCTTGTTGTGTTTACTTGGATGGGTTGGTTTATCTATCTACCTATCAAGGCTGGCTTAAAAAGAAAAGAAACTGACTCGGCAAAGCGTCACACTTTATGCCTACGTATTCTCATTAGAGAACGAGAAATCAGAGTCAACGTAGTTCGACCTACGACGGTTTATGGGGAAGGTGGCTCGCCAATACATCAGTATTGTGCCTACGTACTCTCAACAGGTATGAGAGATCAGAGCTTACGTAGTTCGGGACACTACGGTTTATTTCCTGTCTTTTACGAAAGAAGTGTTTTTTATTGTGTTTGCAATTTCAATCGCACTAGAGACTATGACCTGAGTGAATGTGTCGCATGTCACCCAAAGGGTACCATACTAAACATCCAGACTGTGGAAAAGAAACTCTCCCACAATCCTTTCTCAGATAGCTTAAGGCTCGTGACGTACGAATGATTTCATTCGCGATTACTGTATCTTAAACTGTTTTGAGATGAGAAGAGAACAGACCCAACTAGGAGGGAGACTATCAAGTCCTACTGTTGTCATGCCAAGGATTCATCCTATGGTTGAGGTTTGAACAGGGAACTCCTAGAAGTTGTCATGCATAGGTTTCAACCTAAAGTTCTATCATCAATTCCTTATCAAAGGAAATGAGAGTCCTAAGGGATCATGTCAATGATACACCAAAGCAGATAAAGCATCAGCTCAAACTGTAAAATGCATGCAATGCAAGTGAGGGAGGAAATGTGTGTGGGGGCATCATCCTCCACAAGCTCATCTCAACCTCAAGCCAGAATGAATAACAGTAATCATACTGAAATATAAAACATGCTATCAAGCAATACAGTAAACTGCAATCATACAGAAGAAAATAAAATGCTATCAAGCAAAACAAACCACATGGGCAAGGGAGCCGGGCTCTACCGAATACCCGCAAGCAAAGCCATACAGTAACAGTACAAGCAGAGGGAGCAACTCAACCTCTAGTGCAATCATGCTCCTAGATTAAAGTCTAGTCTAGATATGGACTTATTCTAATGCATCAAGCAAGTCAAACAAGACACATCAATACAGAAGAGAAGCAAAGAAGAAAGCAGCTCAACTCCTCTCTCAACTCCAAACTTCAGCTCTTCCAACAGCAACTCAGTCCTCAGACTTCCATCACTCTTGACAAATATCAATTTGCTTTTCCAGGTTTCAACCCTTTAACATAAGTTTCAACTTATCTTCTTCAAGCTTCAGCTCCTTAATCAGTTCCACCTTCAGGATTCACTATTAACCACCAGTATCAACTGGATTCCTTCAGGATCTTCAAGCTTCAAAGTAAGTATCAACTTCCTTTGTTCTTCAAGCTTCAAAGTAAGTATCAACTTCATCTTCAAGCTCTCAAGCTCTTCTTGCTTCACCAGTCTCAACTTGGTCTTCTCCTCCTGCAAGCTTCAGCTTCTCAGAGTAATCTTCAATCACTTAGAAGTATCAACTTCATCCTTCAATCTTTTCTTCAAGCCTCAGCTTCTCATTCAGTCTTTACTGGGTCTTCATTGAGTCTTCAAGTATCAACTTGCTCTTCAAGCTTTAGCTGGAATGGCAATACTCAAGGAATTATCCTCTTTCACAGTCTTCAATGAAGTCTTCATCTTCACACTCAAGCTCAACATCTCTCAAGATACTCAAACCAGAGGCAATCACTTAACTGGATAAGCTGGGGTGTCAAACTGCTTATTAACCACCAAAGGTGACCTATAAGGGTTCAACATCAAAGGAATGGTTCCCTCAAAAGTTCTACTTCCTAGGTACCATCACTTATCCCTCCAAAGGAGAGAGGTGAATACCATGGAAGGACTTTGAATCATAGGGAGCAATGGAGGTGAAAGATACCATCCATGTTTAAGACTGAAGTTAACTAGGTCTAAACTCTTCCTAATTCCTAACCTTAAAACAACAACAAAACAACTAAGATTCTCAAGCTCTCAAGCTCCTCAATCAGTCCTCAAGTCTTCTACTATGCTCCTCAATGCTCCTCAAAGCAAGACCAAGCTCTCCAAGCCCACAAAGCAAAGCAAACAAAAATACCAGCCCACAAAGGCAACATAAACAATCATCAACTACAAAAATCACTTAAAAAAAAGTATACTACTATACTAAAACCTAATATAATTTCTAGGGGATCCTATATACCTACCCTTAATACCCTATATGTCCCAACATCTATCTTGACCTAGAAACCCAAAATTCTAGTGTTATTGTGGACCTATGTTAAGGATTGACCTAATTCTACACAACCTAATGTCATCTAAGCAAAACTAATCAAAAATTCATCACAAAATTATGGAATAAATCCAGAGGGGAGCTAAAGTCCTAATCTAACTATCCTAAAAAGAATGGACTAAAAATTTGAAGGGACCTAGCTAAACAAAATTCTACAAATTTATGCATCAACATAAAAGAAATAAAAAGCTATTAAAAGAGAAAATACACAAAAAATATTAAAAATGCATGAAATGCAAATATTATGGTTTTATAATTTTCTAGACATTATCATGAAATGGGAGAAAAAATCCCCAGGCAAAAATAATTAATTTCCTATTTATTATGATTTTTCAAAGATTAATGAAAATTGGAGAAAAAGAAATTAAAATGAGAAACATTTGGTGTGAATAGCAAGTATATCCAGTTCAAATATGCAATGGGCTCAGAATGGGGGTTCAGAAAGCAATGCGTGCCAGGCCCAATTATCATCAGAAATTAAATCAAAAAACATAAAGAAAAAGAAAAGAGAACGGTGCAGAAAGTAACAAAATATAGTTAAAAATCCAATGGGCCATGAATTGGGGGTGTGGTTAGCAATCCAGCCCAATCCCCCTTTTAATGAAACGATGCGTGTCAATATCTTCAGATTCCCTCTTCAAATGAAATTAAATCCTGGCCCTTGGATCTCCCCTCAGTCAAAGGGTCCACGCCTGATCCAATGGCCCTCTCTTCATCTTCTTCCTCCAGCTAGGGTTCTAGTGAGGAAGCCATGGAAATGCAGAGCTTCAAGCTCCATCTTCCCCAAACTCGTACCTCATCAATTCTCCATGAAAAACCAAAATTCCAAACCCTAATCTGTCCAGAATTCCATGCTGAATCTAACCATGGCCTTGAAATCAATTGAAACATCCTAAATCTCCAAACCCGATCCAAGATAAAAAATGAGCTCAAACATCAACTTCAACAATTCTTGCAATTAAATACCTCAGATTGATCACCAACTCACACTGATTGATTCTTGATATCTAATTCATTCTATAGCTCACCATAACTCGAGTTCTTGGTCCAAACAAAAATGGTGACACCAACTGAAACCTCACCAATTGCTCTCAAACTGTTCAGAATCCATCTCCTATTGGTCTCTAACAGTTCTAACCTAACCATTCTTGCTAATCATGCCTAAATCATGGTGTAGAAGAAAAGTTACTAACCTGTTGAATCTTGATTAACAGATGGAGTAAACCTTCACTGCAAGCCTTCAAACTCTTCAGAATCGATCCTTGAATGATGATAGAGCTTCTGTTTGCAAAAGTTTTGAAGGAGAATGCTTGAATCTCAGAATTCGATGGTGACTTGCAATCTTGAAAATCCAAATGCCAACTCTTCAAATCTCCATGGTTTTGCTCTCAAATTGATCTGCACAGCTTCAATATGATCAGAGGAATGTGTTTAGATTGAAAGAATGAATGGAATTTTATCAGAATGTGGATTTTGCTTTCAATTTGCAATGGAAGCAAGTGAAATGGCCAACTCTCTCTTCTCTCAATTCTCTCACCAACCTTGCATCTGAGCAAGTTCTATACACTATATAGAGTGGTTTAGAATCATCTAGAACTATCTGGAACCATCCCATGAGAAATTGGGATTCTCATGCCATGAGTTTGTGAAATCATCCATCTCATGTATCATCTCATGCCATAGCCCTTTGCAGCACTTGCCTTGATCTGAAATTCTCCTTAAATGAGATATATGGTATGTTAAAACCCTTAGCAAGCTTGTACATTGAGTTTCCTTATGTTTTGCATTTGTGCCTTAAGATGCAAGCAAGCAATTTCCAAAGCAGCCCCATGATCTAGGCCTAAATTCAAAAAAGTGGCTGAACCATTGTTTTTAGAATGCCTTTTAGAGTCAAAATGACCTATTATATGCCATGGTTTGGATGTGTAACTTGGGATTTCCAATTTCCAACTTGAACTTATTTAACTTATGCCTCCATTTTAGGCCATTTTTATCACTTTTTGCTACAAGCCTTTTCAACACCTCATGACCTCCTTACTAGCCTTAAAACGTCATTCTAAGCAAGTTTGATGTTGAAGATTTTTCCATTTGAAGCTTGGAAATAGGAGATATGGCTT